GATGGTATGACAAAAACTATTTTTGGAGTTTTCTCTTTTTCCAGATTCTTTGTTTTTATTGTTTCTATCTTTTGGGTTTTGTTTCATGCTCCTAATTACTGGTATTGTTCTATCTGTCTGTTCTGTCTGTCTGTCTGTCTGTTCTGTCTGTCTGTTCTGTGTGTTCTGTCTGTATGTTCGGTCTTTCCCGTCTGTCTATTGTCTGTCTAACATTTCTTTTGTGTGTGTTTGTATCATCCTTTACTGTAATGGTAATTTGCCTTTTCTTTTTGTCTGTCGTCTTCCTGTCTGTCTGACTATCTGTGTACGTCACTGTATTTGAATGTATGTCTGTCATCTATGTGTCTGTCTGTCTGTCTGTCTGCCTACCTGTCTGACTATCTGTGTACGTCTGTATCTAAATGTATGTCTGTCATCTATGTGTCTGTCTGTCGGTCAGTCCATCTTTCTTTTAGTCCATTTATTTGTCTATCTGTCTGTTAGCTGTCTATCTCTGTCTTTCTGTCTGTGTCTGTCTCCCTCTCTCTCTCTGTCTACCTACTTCAATTGACTCATTCTTCAACACATTCACTTTCAGATATTCTGAAAAGACATCTCAAGTCCACTCTTAGGATTGTATACAGTTTATTCCAAAAATACAAACATCTTAAATAGACCCTTTCTAAACTATAAATTGTAACATTTATTTTACTATACTTATATTGCTCAATTTTGATACAAATAGATATAAATTGCTAGTTCTAAGAAATAATGTTTTTGAATATCATCGTGTTATTTTTGGTTGTATGATAAAGTATTATTTTTTTATTGTAGTTTTATAATTTAAGCTAATTAAATCATATCTGTTCCTTGGCTCTCTCCTGGAAATGAAGAGGAGCTCTTTGGAATGTTAAACTTTTGCCTTTGTACAGCCACTCCTTGTACCCTCCCCTGTGGGGAACAAGAAAGTGGAGGGGGAGAGGGGAGAGTCAGTGACTTAATAGAGAATAACATCTTACCTGACTAAGTAGAGCCACTTCCAATGGAAGAGAAAAGGCAAATAAATTTCTACATCACCTTCTGCCTTGTATATGGAGCAATTGTTAGACACTTTTCCTTATATAGTAAGGAAAAACGAGGGGGGGGGGGGGAAGGAATCTTCTTGCACCCTCCCTAGAATTGCTAGGTTGCAAGCATTCCCAATTTCCATGAGTGTCAAAAGACAAAAGCAGGCGGCCATCTTGTTTCAGTTAACAGCAGTGAATGCTAATGAGAAAGCTTTTGGTCAGTGGCACTCACACAGCCGCGATGACGTTACGTGCAATCTGAGAATTGCCTAACTATAAAATATTGGTATGCTTCAATTATAGATCAAATACTTTTACAACTTTTACAAGATTTACTATGCTTTTCTAKCAGATAGTGCATTAGCTATAATGTAATCAAATAGCGTGCAATAAAATAGTTCTGTAGTAAAACAGTTTAAGTTTCCTGTAAAATCCCCAAGCCATCCAAACCTGTTCCACCACCATCACCAGGTCTCCCTCCGAATATATTATTGCGCCACTGATCTAGAGATTTGGGGATGAGTTTTACTACTAGTACCAGTCCACTCATATCTTCCACTCTGTACATGTGCGCATTCGGTGAACTGGCCATTTTTGATAATTCATCGATTCCATCAAGGTATTCCCCGACAGCGATAACAAATACTTCGATTCCTTGAGCTTTGAGTCTGCGCGCAATAGGTATTGTCATATTACGTCTGATATTCGACTGCCCATCTGTTATCACAAGAACTCTCTTAAAACTCAGCTCCCTTCCACCATGACGGCCTGGTTTTTCAAATATATCATGGCAAACTTGCAATGCCTCTTGGGTATTCGTTTTCCCGCCAGTTCGTCTGAGCATGCGCAGTTTGTTCACTGCGATTCCTTGTGACGTGAATTCGAGTACAAGCCTGGCCTGTGTAGCTACGGTGATAAGCGCGTGTTTTGAAGAAGCCTTGGATTTCCTTATCATCTCTTGAACAGCGCGAATCCCACGCTTGAATTCCAACTCGCTGATAGAACTGGACGAGTCAATGATGTACACCACATCAAAGTAGTTGAAGAGCTGTCTTTTGCTGCGTTTTAAGGGAAGCTCTTCATCATGACCAAGAAAATGGCGCTCGAGTTTCTTCGCTGTTTCTTCTGAGGAAGGTATTGCTTGCAAATCTGTTAACGGAATCAGCAACGGACATGTTAAGCACCTCTCACCAATGATAGAGTGAAGTCATTAAACCCGTGAAATAGATATTAGACTAATACACTTTAATAGACCTTAATTCCATCGTTTTCTTTTGTGTCTTTTTGACTATTACACGTTGACTAGTATATTTTATTTCATGGGTTAAAAGCCTTCACTCTAAATAGCGCATGTTATCCCTGCATTGTTAACTCATGCTAGTCTAGATGATAACTTAGAGTATGGACCTCCTTGTTCATTAAAGACTCCACCTTTGCCATTCTTCCCGTTTACATAACCGAAATAAGTCGGTCGCGAGGTCTTCACCTTCACCGCAGGTTGGTCTCCCTTCACGACATCGAAAGGGAGTTTACCATAGCTTTTCAACTGCTACTTTCAGTAAGAATTTAAACACAACATACAGGGACAGAGTTTGGAACCTAGAAAATTATRTAACTTTGCAGAAGAGCCCTCCCTTTGCTTCGCTCCTGAAAGCAAAATTCAAAGGTTTTATCAAACAAGAAAATAACATGTATCAATGATAAGAACATTGAAAATAAGTAATTCTGAAGTCAACCATTGTTGACCCTTCTAAATTTTGAATGGAATGGAAGCCTACAACAAGACATAGCTCTTTGCCTGAATAGTTGTGGAATGACGCATATTGATTAMCAAGTCTTCGGTTTGCAATAGAGGCTTTGCGTCGTCACGTGATGGCAGCCACGACAGGAGGCATAACAATAGAGTCTTTTCCCCCTGGGAAACTGAATTATTTTTAATGTAAATCAGATTAGACCAGATTCAATTGTTCCTGCCTCCTGTCATGGCTGCTATCACGTGATGGTGCAAAGCCTCTATTGCAGTCAATTGTCACGCGTTCTAGGTGCTTTATCTGGGGTATCGAAAACAACTTTGGCCTGTGGTAAAATTGGTCGTGTACTGTTCGTACAGTAAAGGGGACTTTTTAAAAGATCGTGTTTGCCAAGGTCATAAGACCATATGTTTGCAATACAATGAGGGATCAGGCTTAAACGGTAATTACATTCTGATAATAGCTATATATCATAATAAGAACTTCTCGACAGATAGCATGGTTAATTATGTTATTATCTTTTAAAATCTTGTACGTAAAGCTCATTTATGAATCTTCTCGACATCAATATAAGCGATATTTATTTAGGCAATTATGTTTATTTACGAACTTAAAATTTTCCGATTTTGATCACAAAGGTTTTGATGAGGATCGCTCATACTGATTAGAAATATTTTGAAAAATTCTGAACTATTTGTAAAAAATCCGAAATTTTTTTACGATATTCTTCGTTTGCACGTTACGTCATCGCGGCCATGTTGGTACCATTTAACAAAAGATTTCTTATTAGCATCCATTGTTAACGGCACCATAATGGCCGCCATGTTTTTGTCTTTTAACTCTCTTGGGAATGCTTGCAACCCATCAATACTGATAGTAATCAGAATCCAGAAAATTTTAGAATTGACGAAACTTGAGCCGTCATTTTCCTCTTGAATTTTTATAGATTTCGCTGGTCATTTTTTGCAAGCTTGATAACCCCTTATTTAATGACCCGTCATTTCTACCTCGCTACTTCAGATCAGTTGGATAGTTAATGTTTTCTGTATTTCTTAAACTACAGGTTTTTTGATCACTCAGAAAGATTGCTCGCAATTCTCATTATCTCGATCCAGTTCTCAGTTTCCCTCAACCTTAGGATGGCTACTAAAAGCTCATGCATTGTATAGCAATAATTTTACTGTGGAGTCAAAATATTAGAATAGGCAATGTGCACGAGCACCAATCTCTAGCACAATGCATGTTTGGAAAGCGAGTACTACACAAATTAGGACAARGAAATCWATAGAATYATCASAAACAAATTACTCTYTYATTTTYGTCTGTTGAAATACKGTTTCATAGAAAATGTAGAAGGAAAAATYGTCAGAGGAATTTTTAGAGGAGCTGAAAAACCGCAAGCACTCGGTTTCCCATCATGCTTTGTGCTAGAGATTYGTGCTYGTGCACTGATTGGCTRTTATAAATCCTTGACAACTGATAAGGCATTTGYATCATGATAAGCGTGCAACACTGGCAATATGCATTGCTGCAGGATGTCGTTTTTGAGGAAGTTTTTTTTACTCATTTTGAGAAAGGCTTCAAGTCTGTTGCATATATTAAGTTTACAAATCATTTTAAGCTCGTTGCATCTTGGTTTTAAAAACTTTGTAGTGATAAAGTTGCACGAAGCGAAAGAACTACTTTTTCAGTTGATAGAGTGCTCACACTAAATCCGCGAAACAAAT